TTTGTTTATTTATTTATATGAGACACTGTTTCCAAGAGATGTGAATTGTGGATTGTAGAGGATTTACGCCCCTGCCGCTGGTCGATAACAACAATAATATCCCTACAAATACGATTTAGACAAATTATAGGACATCACTGGTGTGCATAAGTACATGTGATTGATTGTTTTAAAATGAGTTAGCTCCCACCGACACTATTCAGTAAATCCTTAGAAGAAGACATTGGTTCAAGCAGATGTGATTGGTAGATTGTAAATTTTTTTTACACTCTTTGTCGGGGAATGAAATCGGAGATCTCTCCTCTTAACCCATCGTATGGTGTCGTACTTTGCACATTCCTGGTACAAAATCATAGATGCAGGATTCGTTTACTTTGAAAGAAAAAGACAGAGGAGAATGGGACTAAAACGGCACATAAACAAGTATTATGTACCTCAGAAGTGCCTCTCTACAATTTGAAATTAATTTATCATGTTAACTTATGATGCGCATACAGGCCATTCAACATTGGTTGAAGACTCGCTGATTTGAGGCATAACTTTGATGTACATGCAGAATATGTTTTCAATTCTATTTTCTTTCCCTGAAACTTTAAAAGGCAGGCACAACCCGCATCTATATGAAATAATATTATGTAACTTTGTGTTTCTGGTCAGTGTATGAGGGTTCGAAGTATCCCTAGCCCCATCCTTGCTTTGGTCTGCTGCTGTTCGAACATAAGCTCGTAGTAATGTGCCCTCTACATCCATAAAGAGTGAAAGTAATGTCTAAGGAGGCGTCAAGTCAACTGTATACAACGAGATTGCTCTTAAAGGAAGAATTGGTCGCTTTTAAGCCAAGTGGGCTATCCCGAAAAATGCTGTCTTGAGAAAATCGAAGGCAAAGTTTTTGTCCCTTGTTCAGTTTCTTTTAAGACAAAGAGAGTTTCCTCTATTACCAAACAAAAAAACCCAACTTAAACTAAGCTTCTCCTTTAGGTAGGGCAATGCCCCCTTTTGGTTTAGGTCAAGATTTCTGGGAGAGCCCGCGTGTCCTTAAAAGCGACTAATTGCTCAAAAGCAGGCAGCACAGCGTACTCACCACAAGTCGCTGTTGTGAAGGAAAAAGCCAAGGTGAAGGTCAGTCAGACGCCAGCAGTATATCAGGCCATAGACGTAGTTGGAGGAGAATAAAAGAGATTAATTAAATGAATGGTGGGGTTGGGTAGAGTATGAGGAAATAATAATATATTCATTATAAAATGCTCACTTTTCTCTTTCTATCTTTCCCTCCCTCCCTCTCTCTCTCTCTTTCTCTCTCTCTCTCTCTCTCTCTCTCTCTCTCTCTCTCTCTCTCTCTCTCT